TACTTAGATATTCTACTAAGTAAAAACTATCTATTAGATCTATATATAGACTATAAAAAAGTCTATCTTATTAATATAGTAAATACCTTAATAAGGTAGTATATAGAGAGTAATAATCTTATTCTTAGTATAGTATATATTAAACTCTAGTATAGTATAGCTACTATAGTTATCTAGAATAAGAAGCTAATAGACTCTAGCTATATAAGTAGCTATATACTAGTTAAAGTACTTTACTTACTTTATACTAAGCTTATTAGTTATTTAGCTATTAGCTAAAACGCTAATAGTCTAGTCTAGTAGAAGCCTATTATACTAGCTACTCTAGTAGACCTTACTAGATAGTATTATAAATAGTAGAAGAGACTAGCTAGACGTATTAATATACTTAATAGCTATTACCTACTTATAATTACCTAGCTAGATAATAACTACTTAACTAACTCTATTAGAGCTTATAACTACCTTAGACGTACTAGCTACGTCTATTATAAATCTAGTCTTATTAAAGTTATAGATATTCTAGTTAAGAACGCTATATATCTAGCGTATCTTCTCTACTAGCTTAAACTAGACTATAATTGCGATAGAATTCTTATAAGTAGCGTACTAACTATAAAATCTTCTAGTCTACTTTATCTAAAGCTCTAGCTAGTTTTAGATAAAGTATAATATCTATTTCTTATCTATAGACTAGAGAGATAGATCTTAGCTACGCGTAGTAAGTAATATATCTACTATTTATTATATATTAATAATATAGGCTAGAAAACTACGCTAATTAAGGTTTAGAATCTACTATATAAGAGACTACTCTTTAATTAGTAATAGCTTATAGTTAATAGAGGCTATCTCTAATTATAGCTAGGCGCCTTAGACGTAGGTATATAGTATTAATTATAGTATATTATATACTTTTATAAGAGCGTAGATAGATTATTTTAAATTATTATAATAAGACGTGATAGTAAGACTTATTCTACCTTTACGAGAAGTCTGTACAGAGCGTTGTTGTCGCGGCATAGTGGTGGTTGTGGAGAGAGTCGCGTCAGGTTGGGTGGGGTGCCCAGCTTACTGATCCCGCACGTTAGTGGGTTAATATAATATGTAAGCACTATCGATCCGAGTAACGTGTTCCACTAGTAAGCTAGGCACACTAGTAAGCTGGGCACCCCACCTAACCTAACGCGACTTTCTGTGCAATTAATCTATAATAACCTAATAAAATAAGATAAAATTAAGAAGTAAAGTTTATTATCTAGCTCTATATATTATATAAGTATATCCTTAAATATAGCACTTCGTATACGTTAGCGGCGCGCGCTAACGTCGCTAACTACTCTTACTCTACTTAGTGCCTATAACTACCCTTTCTACCTCTATAGTAAGCTACTACGCCTATTATACCTAGAGAGCTCTACTAGAAGTAATATATTACTACCGCTAGTCTTACTTTTATTATTAATACTAGTAGGCTATACGTAGCTTCTTATTCTCCTCTATAAGTATTATTATAGATTATATTATAAGCTACGCGCTCTTCGTGAGCTAGCGTATAGCAACGCTTATTAGACTATCTAACTACTAGCGTTACTAGCGTAGCCACTCTTAGAGATAGAGTACTTACTACTAAAGCTACTCTACTATATACAGCGTTTCTACCTATATTATAGCGCTACTAGCTACGTCTAGCTACTATAGAGACGGCGTTTAGATAACTATTAGTAATAATAGAACACGCTCTAGATAGAGAGGGACGAGGCCTATTACTTAAAAGCCTACTTAGATATTCTACTAAGTAAAAACTATCTACTAGATCTATATATAGACTATAAGGAAGTCTATCTTATTAATATAGTAGACGCCTTAGTAAGTAAGCTTCTTAATCTTATATCTATACGCGTACTTAAGTAGTAAGAAGTAGCTTATATTAAGTAGCTAGAGAAGATATAACGTATAAGGTAGTATATAGAGAGCAATAATCTTATTCTTAGCATAGTACTAGTTAAACTCTAGCGTTACGTAGCTACTATAGCTATCTAGAATAAGTAGCTAATAGACCCTAGCTATATAAGCAGCTATATACTAGTTAAAGTACTTTATCTACTCTATACTAAGCTCGTCTATTATCTAGCTATTATCTAAGACGCTAATAGTCTAGTTAAGTAAGAGCTTATTATACTAGTAAGACTAGTGGACTTTACCGCGTAGTATTATAAATAGTAGAAGACACTAGCTAGACGCGTTAACGCACTCGATTGCTATTATCTACTCGCGATTACCTAGCTATATAATAACTACTCTACCTACTCTATTAAATCTTATAATAACTTTAGACGTACTAGCAACGCCTATCGCGAATCTAGTCTCGTTAAAGTTATAGATATCTTAATCTAAGACGCTATACGCCTAGCGCGTCTTCTCTACTAGCTTAAACTAGATTATAATTATAATTAGATTCTCGTAGATAGCGCGCTAACTATATAGTCTTCTAGTCTACTTTATCTAAAGCTCTAGCTAACTTTAGATAAAGCGCGATACCTAGTTCTTACCTATAGGCTAGAGAGGTAGATCTTAGCCACGCGTAGTAAGTAACGCGTCTACCATCTATCGTACATTAATAATATAGAGTAGAAAACTACGTTAATTAAGGTTTAGGATCTACTATACGAGAGACTACTCTTTAATAGGTAATAGCTTTTAGTTAATAGAGACTATCTCTAACTATAGCTAGGCGCCTTAGACGTAGGTATATAGTATTAATTATAGTATATTATATACTTTTATAAGAGCGCGGATAGACTATTTTAAATTATTATAATAAGACGTAATAGTAAGACTTATTCTACCCTCACGAGAGGTCTATATAGAGCGTTGTTGTCGCGGCATTATGGTGATTGTGTGGAGAGTCGCGTCAGGTTGGGTGGGGTGCCCAGCTTACTGGTGTGCCCAGCTTACTGGTGGAACACGTTATCTTAAACGCGGTGCTTACTAGTAGAGTACGTAATCGTGACTACTCTGGCCATGGGGCCACCTTCATGATCGAGGAACGGCTAGTAGATTACCAAAGCGTGAAGTTAAAAATTGCAACAGGGCAAGGTCCAAGGTTCATCAGGTACGAGAGGCGATAAACACACGCTGTCAAATATGACGAAAGGCACTGCGTAAGACAGCGAAGTTGCTAACATTCTTGTATGATTGTTATGTATATCCAAACGTCGTCGCGCATCATAAATTCCATTTCTTGAACCCTCGTTCAAACAACGTCCAGCCGCTTAAATCGGGGCTTGCTGCAACCAAGACATGTTGAAATCAATGGTCTTGCCAAGATCTTGTACCTGGGCATCAGACGACCAGAACAGTATTCGGTCCGCCTTGAAAACCAGACGTGGTAGTGAAGTGCCTAGCAGGGATGTGAACAGTACTATGCTATGTGTAACGAGTTTTGTATTATAGGAACGCTAAAATAAGCATCTAGCTCTTCTTTGGATAAATTAATATAGAGAATTACTACGCCATTCTGAATAACTACGACTTAATAGGGTATAGATCGTACTCTTTATAGTATAGCTCCTACTCTCTACCCTGGCCTTTGTCGTTCCCTTGCTAGCGGACCCACGTACATCAATTCTGCCATGTAGCTCAGTATCCGGTTGGATTTACTAAAACAGCTGTAGTCTAGAGTTTCTTTTTTTAAAAAAGCTCTTGGGTATATAAAGGTTCGTATGCTGTAGGGTATTTCAACTATACAGCACCCATCACCTTCAAGTATCCTAACTATCCCCATCATTGCTTTTACTACACAAATATACTGCTGCAATGTATCTGCCTACACTTTCCGTACTACTTGCCGCAAGTGCTTCCATTGTTAGCGCCCAGGCAACGGTACCAGGCCTTGGATGTGTTTGCATGGTATGTTGAAGCTTGCAGATTCCATGACAATATAATAACGGGGACAGGCACAAACCGCTTCAGGCAGAGATCAATCGATGGCCGACCGAACCGTTCGTTGCTGCCGTGATAATTCAGGTGAGTCGGCGCAGTGAAATAAGCAGTGGTTTCTTAAAGTAATGTCGTTGAATATCATTTCTAACGGGACACAGGAACTATGATTAATACAGTTAATTTCTGGGGTCGCGGCAACTTCTACTGTCGTGTCCCGAGCGATGTTACTCCGGCCCTCTGGGATCAGAATTGCTGCCGTAAGTGGTACGGAGATAATACTTACGGATATTGCAATCAGTCGACGTAAGAGCGACACGCACAGAAATGTTAAGCTTATTGTATCCTCTGTACCCCGAGGGGAAAAGATTAAATATCCTCAACGCCGAAGGCGCATTAGTTAATTTCTTCAATCACATGTCGAGTTTTCCGCAATTTTCGGTGTTTATCCTTGAACTTGACATCTGCACCTAGTCCAAAAACAAATACTTAGACGCTTGAGTGCACCACTCCTAGCTCATGATAACGGATGTTATTAGATTAGGAGATAGCAGAGAAGAATATAGCTACTAATGTATTACAACGCTTTGGAGGTGCTACACACAATCTCCAATAAGTACCTTAGCGGACTTGGAAACAGTAGTTGGTTAATTATTACGTTATTAAAATAATAGGATATGTACCTTGTCCCGATTCGCGCAGTACGATCGAGGTCAATATAAGGTTTCTTAAGCTCCGAAATTGAGCTTCTCCTTGCATTGAAGCTACCGGTTCAAGTTGAGTGGGTGAACAGCATGAGGTAGACAGTAGTAAATGTAGGCCTTGAATAGATGCCACACTGAAGAAAATCTAGGTGAACGATTGGGTAAATGCTCTTCGTTTCTCGAATGAGGTTGGTGTGTCGGTGTACATGCAGCACTACAAAAACGGCATTCATCGTGACAACTACATCTTTGAAAAAAGGTAGATAATACAAGGGTTTATGCAAGAAATGGGAAGTCAAGGAGTTTGAACAGTGTCAACAAAAATCTCCAAAACCAATAGAGGATGTTGTATAGACTTGTCTTGCGAAATATAGAAGCTAAACTTTGGGTGCATTATATACGTCATCATACAGCTACCGAAAGCTGCATCTAGGTTTAGTCATACTACTTTTCCTTTCCTATGAACTTGTTTTGCTGAGATCAATCTGACTTTGGCTTATTTTTCTCCCGTACGCGTCATGCGCCGCATCCCATTCGCTGACCTGGTCGTACGGTATCTTTACAAGCACATGTGTTTGCGCTCCATCTCCAAGATCCAGGACCTCTTGGCGTACCTTGTAGCCGCGAAGCTTAGGCAGCCAAATAATCCAGGTATAGTAATAAGCCCCGCAAATGAGTAGGATGCCAATCCCAACCACGATGTAAGTACCGTACCAGAAGCTGACGTCTCCGCCTGTCGCCCCGCCAGTTGGTGGATACCAAGGCATGATGATTAGGTAGAGCTGAACCAAAATATTGAAAATGAGTACGACGTTCCAAACACGGAAGGATGGTGGTGGCAGTCCAAGGCGACTGCGGCGATACCGTAGCACGTAAAGCCCAGCGGCCATGAGGAGACTGAAACAGGCTGAGGGATACACCTGAAGGTCGGTGATGAAAGAGAAAGCGTCTCCCGCCGGCACCGCAAGGATAATGAGAATGGTCAGGGCCCATTTCGTGAAGTATGGTCCTATTGGGGTACCAAATGGCTTGGTGGATGCCCAGAACTGTGGCCAGGGAAGTACGCCTTGTCGACCACACTCTCTAATCAATCGTGAGGATCCTAGGAGAACAGCGATAAGATTTCCGAATGAGCTCAGTGCTATGAGGAAGTTGAGGCCACGGACAGCACCGTGGTCTCCAAACACCTTGGTGAATAGGATGCCGGCGGCGATTGTTTTGCCTGCTAGAATTTCTTCTTTGGGAATTGCGGCAAAATAAGCTACGTTTGCCAGGATGTACAAGATGGCAACGAGCACTACTGCGGCGAATCCATTGTTCCTGATGCTTTTCACCGGGTTCTTTACCTCGTTGACTACATTGAATGCATTCTCATATCCTGCATCTGTATTATATGTTAATAAGTATTGCTAGTTATTCGACCTTTTGTAATGACTTACACGCAAAGATAATCTTGTACATGGCGTTGGTGACACCATATCCCGATGGATCACCGTCAAAAGCATCGCGAAATCCGGCTGAAGGGTTCTTGACCCGAGTGTGTCCGCCCAGCACAACCAACCCTGTGATACCGATGAACACCAGTGTTATCAGTTTGATTGCCCCAATCGCATTGCTAATCCAGTAAGATGCTCTAGTATTGAACAGGACTACCAATACAGCAGCCGTGTAGCAGGCGACCGCAAGTCCCTTCGTTTCCCACGGCTTAGCTTGATAGTCTCCGATTTTAAAGAGGTAGTTGGCCATCACTACCGCGTTGCCAGAGCTAAAAGATAAGATAACCGATTGGATCGCAAATGTGGTCGGAAAAAACCACTTGGGTCGCGGAAACGCTTGTTCAAGATAGGCTACCTCGGAACCGGATCGAGACGGAAAATATGCCGCATATTCCAAGTACACCGATAGCGAAGATATCGACGTGAAGAATCCAATTGTCCAGAAAATCAGACTAAGCCCAACTGAGCCTGTACCTTTTAAAATCGACGCAGCTATAATCCACTGTTAGCTTACCTAAGTTTGGTCAGAATAAATTTCACATACGTGTCGAGAATATTCCTGTCATCGGTCAATAAAAATTAATATCTTGGAATTCAGCAACCAAATACCTGTGCCGATCATCTTTGAAAGGTTCAAGAACACTATCGTGATAGGTCCAACATTGTATCCCAAAGGGGAGTGTGTCTCGACAGGAGCTCCGCTCGCTTCTTGGTAGGCGATAGGAGCATTGTTACCACCTTGCTCCCCGACATATTTCAAATCCCCATCTGTGACTTGAATGTTGCCACTCGCAGTCACCGATTGAATCGCAGAAGCTGATCGGTCTGGGTTCCCACCGCTTTTGAAACGATTCTTAAAGAGTGAAGACATTGCGAAAAATGTCTAATAAGAATCTCGATGGCCCTGTGCGTCACGCTATGTCATTGGAGGGTCGTGGAAGCGTGTAAGCATGCAGCGTAAGACGGACATAGCAACAGGTATATATGGAACTTCAAGGATAAGGCCGTACTTCCGAGGTTGGGGTTGGTTGCAAACCGGAGTGCAGATGTCACCATCGCACGTCATATGCAATAAAATTGTTAAATCCCAGGGCATTGCCTTCGGATAGTTGTTAAACCTATCATATTGTGTCGCGTGCCGAGCACGCGAGAGATAATGTATTTGCGACATCGCAGGGGTACCAGGAAGAGCCAAGGCGTCGGGTCTTCGCCTCGATGGGCAGTTCGTCGCACAGCCTCGTATATTCTTACTGAACATTCGAATCTTTATAGCTGGATAAAGAATTAAGCGCTGTATAATACATGTCTAGGAATAAGTGAAGCACTTGGAAACGATGGAAGTTGTGAGACTCCTGGAATAGTTGACCGACAATGACCAAGCAAAGTTGAAAGCGGGGTTGATGTAACATTCATGTGGAACGTTGTACATGGAGTATGGGATCGCAGTCACATAGGGATAGCTGATAACGATCCCGGCGTATCCCGCCAAGAGCCCTAGAAGGAATCAGGCTCGGATAGTTCATCTTCCAACTAGCCGGCCCTACTCACAATATTGCTATCAATTATATGCCACGTCTAAAAACATATCGTGTGTTACTAATGACAATAAGGTGGCAAAAAAGCTCTATCCCGACTAAAAGCATTCTCAGTTTTACTGAAGTAATTTGAGTTTGCGATCTAGTTAGTAATCTTCAAAAAATATAGGCAGATGCTGTAGTTGGCTTAACTATCCTTATTCAGAAGTGTAGGTAATGCTGACTATCTGAGCAAAGTACATTTGCAGACGTAGTGTATAGGGTCTTGAGATAACCTGTAGATTTTACTCCAGCGGCTTACTCTTTCCTCCACTTGCAGTACGAATTGCTGGCTCCAGCGGAAAAACGGAATTTTCAGGCGATACACCTTCGTATATTGACCATCTTGACTTTAATGCCTCAGGTGTAGGCCATGCGTTCTCAGGATCACGTAGCCAAAGTCGAATAAGATGACGCCTAAATTGCTTTAGCACGGGATTGTGAATAATCAGGTGAGCTGATACTCACTGTTGCTCCGGAGTATTTTTGAATCCATCTCGGGCATGGAAAATACTCAAATTGTTGGCATATTGCACATCGCCCTTTCTAAAACCAAGAGACACGGCATGTTTCTCAGCTAGAAAATGGAGGGCGTCAAGGGCCTCGGCCTGAGCCTCGGTTATGGGTGGCACATCAGAAGATCTTGGCAAACCCCAATAGCCTGTGAACGTCCTTCGTGCGTACTGGATAATCAGTCTCTCAGGAGTAGACTCGGTCTTTGGCTGAAAGTGAAGCAACGGTCGAAGAGCATACTTATCCCCCCTATCGCCAAAACTACCACAAGAGTTAGAAGCCGCTTCTTCAAGTTTTATTTAGTTACAATTTGACGTACTTCTCGCTGGCCCAAGGCTCAGCTAGGGTTCTGATAAGATCGGGCCTCGTTCTGGCAAGCTCGTTGTACACCGTCCATGAGCTGGACAATTTGCTTTCGCCACCCTCCGCAGCAGTCTCCAAACATGCCAAGGCAATAACATCACCCGAATCAGTATGGAATACCTGCTTATCAGTCGTATAAGCAGGTGCTCCAATTTTGTTAGCATCCACGACCGAGGTTAGATCTTTGATATGAGCTAAGACAACATCCGCTGGGTTTCCCTGGTACTGAAAGTCCTGACGCCCTCTAATTGGAGCAACGTGCGATGAGACTCCAGCGTATATGATAATATTCTCCTCACGGTCATGCTTATCAAATGGCAGGCCTCGAAGGACCTTGAAGCCACGTCGGTTATGAACTTCATCGGAAATGTTGCGCAGCTCAGCGTGCAGCTTTGGAAGAGGAAATGTGTCTTGGTTGACAAAGCCGAGTGGTTTGCCAAGAGCTGTTGTTGTTTCAGCATACCTTAATTCTATGCATCAAAATAGCTTACATTTGAAGTATTTTAGCGCATCCTCAATCTCCTGAAGCTCCTCCGCGTTGAGTTCATAGACAAAATTGTACTTTTCCGCAATGTCGCTTCCATCCCATACGAGGTCCGAGTTCAGTTCACGAGGAAATCCATCCGGTAGCTGATTCGATAGCTCTTCAGTAGCCTTTCGGCGGGCAACACGTGCGAGATATTTGTCGAGATCGGGAGCATAATCGATATCGGGTTGGCCAACCGGACCAGTTCTTAATACTTGAGCAGTAGCCATACTAATGTTCGATATACAATGCACGGCACGTTCTGAAAGCCTTGCAGCGGCGAGACTTGATATAATACATAAGTTCGTGTCGCAATGCGATTGGTATATCACGTCAACAGGTGTGGGATGCGGCCTTGATAGCGCAATTGAGCTAACGTCTCGCGTCAACGCGGGGCTGATAGCGTCATGCCCCAGGTCCGGGCCGTCCCCAACGGGATGATAACGAATGTGCATACAGTATACGCTTACCCGCTCTTTTTTCTACCCAGCTGCAGGGATGTTTAGTAAACGGTCGTGAAAAGTATCGGATTACTGGTTTTACTAAAGCTGCCCTCCATCCCTCATTATGGTTTATAGCCAAGTAGGATAGTATGGTAGTGAATATGAAACCCAACAAACTTAGTAAATCTATAGATTAGCTATGTAACCTCTATCTATAGTGTAGATTGTCCTGCCCTTACATTCGCTGCTGCTAAAGCTGTTAAATGAAATTACTTGTGGAGAGTGGATATAGACCGCTGTAAAGGTATTTTTACGTCTTAGCATCAATTAACATCGCAATAGTAGCTATTTAGTAACGATGATTGGTGAGTGGGAGGGGTCATTGCGTTTTCTCGCTCTTTGTTAGGGGTAACCAAACTTTGGTCCCCATACACCCACCCTGGGTCCGTATTCAATGCCTCTTCCACCTGATCCAGAACAAAACAGTTAAATCCATCCGTCAAACCCAATTCTAGACCAATCTTGGAACTCATAGTTTCAACTATCCTCAAGAAGCGTTCTATATTCTCTATTTCATCTATAAACTTACCCTAGATCTACAATTCGCGTAGCATTATATCTTAGTACGGGATTTTAAGATCAACAAATACGCTTCGAAACAAAACATACTCTCCACCACGCCTAAGCAACTTAATTCCTACCATAAAAGCCGCCAGTCCTTACTACAAAAAGGAAGGACTATAGTCTAGAAAAGCGTCCGCTTCTTTTCCACCAGTAATATTTTCCAGTACCTTCGCATCTCTATCCATATCGTCCATTAGAACGACCGTTAATCGCGTCTCTTTCGCACCATGGTACCTTCTTAACACCTTAAGTTTCTCAGCGCTACAAGTTGCAGCCACAATCTTATAGCCCATTACCAACGCAACCAATATCCCGGCTCTTGAAAACTTCCCTGTCGCTGGCCCCATAATGACAGTATAACCGGCCCTGAGATTCGAGGTTGCTAACTCTCCCACAGCTAATAGGTAAGACCCCGCAGGCGCAAAGTCACTAATTTTGTATCCTACTACACCTTTCTTCTTCCCCTTCACCCATTTCTCTTCCAATTTAAAAATCCCTTATAGCGGAACGACTAACAATCTGAGGCGGAAAATCAGGCGATGCAAATATATAAGCAGTTCATGTAGGGATCGAAAGTGAGACTCTGCTTAAAGAAACTCGGGGTCAAAATTCCGGGGGTTTTTTAGTACAAGTTTCTCTCTGAAACCTTTACGCTAGTTACACGTTAATTCTAGCTAGGTGGAGTGAGACTTGCTGTTTTCTTTCGAGATAAGTAGTTCGATACGCTGTGCGCCAAATAGGTACAAGAAATCAAGGCTATAGTCAATGTAGATTGATCGAAAAGAGTTAGAGAACATTGTCATTGTGAGCGACCGTGCAAATACACAGCTGATCGAAGCTGTCGCTACAGGTTCGTGTTGTACAACCAATTCTTTCCAAAACTAATTGCATCAACTTTTGAGTGTGTATTTGAACGATGTTATTCTACGATTGCTTATAGCTGAGTCACATCCTCCCCAAACTGGCGCCATTGCTTTTTGACATCTATATCAATCTTTCCGGAATTTGATGCCACGAGCGTGTCCCTCCCAGCAGACTCATTCGTATACATCACAAGATGTTCCTAGTAGTACTTAGTGTTCACTGTCAACTATACAGACCATCAGTGATGCTTACCTTTCCTAATGTTAATTTGATCGAGCCTTCTAACCATTGCATTGGCTTGTAGACCTTCATGTTGTTTTTCCCCTTAATTAGGGATACGATATTGTCAGCAACAACGAAGGTCTGCATATAGCCCGCTCGTGCCATCTTTGGTCCACCAGTAGCCGCAACGTCGCCAACGGCGAAGATGTTCGGAAAATGCTCATCGGCGATCTGAAGTGTCGGTTTGACAAGAATATGAGAAGACTCCTTCGATATTGAATCCAATGAAAGGCTGGATATGACCGAGCTGTTCGGCCGCTGACCAGTGCATGGGATCTTCGTTCCGTGAGTTGACTAATCCAAAGAAGTTGGATACTCAAGGGACGACTTACAACGAGATCAAAGGTCTCTTCTTCGCCTGATGTTAACTTGAGGGTCTGACTTCCCTCCAAAATTTGTGGCCGTTCATTGAGCCAGACCTCGACGCCCATTTCACCAAGCCTTTTCATTACGTACTGATGTAGCCGTTCTCCAAAGCTTGGGAGTAGTCTATCTCTTGAATGCAACAACACAACACTTTTCTCTGCATGAAAGTCCTTAATATCGCTTGCAAGCTCGACACCTACTGCGCCTCCACCAACAACCGCGATTCGTGCCGCCTTTTCAATTTTACTCTGCAAACTTCTCAACTCTCGCTGCGCATCAAGACTTTCCGTTGCCGTAACCTTACTGGGAAGTGCCGATGACGTGCCAGTGGCAATTACCAGGTATTCATATTCCAATTTCTTTCCATCCTCGAGTCTGATGATGCGCTCATCCACTTTATCAATCTTTCCCTGTACAAACTCAAATATGCCTTTCGGTGCTCCCTTTTCTAAACCTCCATATGGGATGAAAGCGAATTTCTCGTACCCGCTGATCACGCTAAACCTGGGAAAGGCAAACACATAATTGAAATGGGAATTTTTCTCGATGAGAACAACTCGATGTCCAGTGGGCAGTATTTCAGTCAGGTGCTTTGCTGTATAATATCCGGCGAAGGAACCGCCGACTACGACCACGTTCTTAGTTCGCGTTGATGGCAGGGATTTGTAGGTGTAACGGTGGACTATAGCTTTGATTTTGCGGGTCGAGGCCGTTAGGACGAGCGAGGGCAAGTGACGTAGAAGGAGAAAAAGAAGAGTAAGATAATCAGAGACCATTTTATCAACACTGGTGTTAGAAGTTGATGGATCAAAACATACACTGAATCCCTCATGAAGACGGGCCTGTGACGTTCATGTCCTGCTGCCTGCTACTTCCCGTCCCTTTTAATCGGTAAGTCGGAGCCGAGATTTTGGATTGGCGTTCGGATCCGAACTCGCACGTGCCCCATCAGTCCAGATCGATAAATCCGAAATCGCAATAAAATCCCAGCCAGACCGGTGTCGGCATGTCGGCTGACCATGGGATTTTAGTGCTGTACCATAGGCGGCACACTAAACTCAATTTGATTTGCGCTATCCGCATACGGCTAGAGTGGTAGAATTTTCTATTGTTATTTTTGAAATACTTTCGTAACCTATTCTTATTACCCCTACTACACTATTAACTACTACTGTAATTTGTTTCTTTCTTTAATACGAATAAGTTTACAACAGTTTCCTAATAAGTTTACGGTCTGCTATCTTTAAGATAGAGCCTCCGCTTACTCCTTACTCTAAGTCTATTAGATACCATATAACTAGTTAAAATAGGTTTATATCACGTTTCTAATATATTCTAGCTAACCTATATCTAGTACGTTAACCTCGTAGGTATACTAGAGGGCATAAAGCCTTGGCCTACTAGTTAGCTAGTGATCCTCTAGTTTAGATAGGTCTGCTGCCGCTTTAAGAAGGACGGCTATTACAAGTAACAAGAAGGATTCTCTCCTTAATAAGTGACGAGATGGCTAAAGGCCTATAGACGTCCACGTCAAAAGGTAAAAGAACATCGCGGGGCTTAG